AGGACTTTATTGCGACGTAATGTTTTTGTGTTCTTTTGTTGCCGTTTTTCTTTTGTTAGATTAGTTCCTTCAAAGTTTTCCAGTAGAGCGTTTATCCAACATTCGCTTTCTCTGTAATTTTCTTTGTGTCGTGCCTCTTTCATAGTCTCCGCTTCGGCATTGACTTCGGTTTGGATGTGTCTGTAATATGTGCTTATGCTGTTGCCTTGTTGTAATGGTTCTTCTCTCTCGTCGTATCCGCCCGTGTCTGTTTCAACAATCTCAACGCTTTCAATTCTGATGGCATCTGCGTATTCTACCAAATGAGAATTCTCTGGAAACTCGCTACTTGAATTCATAGTAATCATCAGTTTTCTAAATAAGAACTTGACAGTATCGTGGTATTTCTTATCTTCCTCTTAACCAGTGTTTCAATGAATTCGTTTGACTTGACATTAGCAGTCCCGACTGCACTTGCGTTTCCACGGGTCAGAAGAATTAAGGGATAATATGCTACACCATCCAGTATAAATGATGCCTTTTTAACACCTGAACGGCTTTGACTAGAAAAAAGCATAAACTTGACATCGTAATACTTCCTGTTCTTGAAAATTTCTTTTGCCTTTGTCGATAAGCCGCCGATGGCCTTTCGCTTCATTATGAGTTGCTTGTCAGTTTTCCTAACAACTTCTTTGATTTCTTTGCCCTTCCTTGCTTTCTTCGTTGTTGCTTTCATCCTTTCCCCGATTGGTGTTGCATCTTCGTATTTTGCTACCGCCTTTTCGTTTTGTTTCATCCCCTTCTCCTTCGCTTTGCTGTTTCCTAAAGTCATCCCATTAATCAGGTTTAAAGCTGTCGTGAACTGAGATATTTTGCGGTCTCTGTATAATTCCACGACATTGTTTAACTTCGTCATAACTTGATTGGATACTTTGCCTCGGTTGGCGTCCCGTTGGGTTTCAAGGGTTGTCAGATAGTTCGTTATAGCTTTTCTCGGCATATAAATAGATGGCTTTAGGCCGGTTCGCGCGCCCAGCGTTTTTGGTCTCTTCTGACTTGAGAACCCATTAATCATCTGCTTCGACTTCGTCAAGACTAAATACTTTGTCAAATCTGATGTAAAACATTTTCTTAACATCTTTTGCATTCGTGCTTATATAGAAGAATGAGTAAGGCGCATCATTAACCGCCTGTTGATACATATCATAGAGTTTCTGTTTATCAACTAAGGCGCTGTTCTCATCCAGAAAAGCATTAACCTCATTCATATTCTTCAACCTGAGTATAAACAACGCGGACGAGTTTAAACGAATAATGGGTGCTAAAACATTACATTTTTGAGTGGATAAAATACAACTGATGGCATTGTGTCTTCCTCTCGTGAAAAGTCCGTGTAATAGACTGCTGTATCGGACAAACTTAGGGTCATCTGCGAAATCGTCAATAATGATTAAGATGCTATACAGGTCTTTTGATTTGCTTTTCTTCTGGAATTCTGTTACTTTGTGCTGGGTGTCAGTTATTTTCTTTAAAGCGACTGGGTCATACTCGTCATAATAGACTTTCTCTTTATCGGTATCCACCTTCATAACATCTTTAATGCATTTCTTTACGGCGTTCCATGTGTCATCGACGTCTACGCTGGGACTAAATATGTATATTCTTTGAAAACTTCCTCTGTATATTTTTAAAATAATGAGGTTCTGAATTAAAACGGTTTTGCCTCCTTTTGATGAAGCGACACATAACATACGAGCAGGTAAAGAAGGCATCATATCGTAATTGGAGTCTTTGTATTTATATTCGGGTATGTCTATCGGTTCAATAGTTGGGATATTCATGATTATAATTACATAGGATTATTATATTTATTAATATATAATGAAAGAGTGTTAAGATGCGATAGATGAATTGGAGAAGGTGGAACAGATAGTAGCATCGCCTAAATACAAATGATGTCGCTTTACATTGTTAGAAATGCTAAAAGTCGTTGTTTTGCATTTCAAGAAAGAAAAGTCTAAATAAGATAAATGAGCGACGCGTCGGCTGACGCCTCGCGAGGCATTCGCGACAAGAAGGAAGAAAGCAAAGGAAACTTTCATATTGATACAAGCAGTATAAACTGTAATTTTTGTAGGTGCGGGAAAAAAGCATATCATACAGAAACAAAAACAACAACGGACAAGGAAGGCAATTAAGTAGTAAGTCAAATTGAAAACAGGTCATCGTGGAGACTAGGTAATGGTCGCGGGACTACATCCGACTGCAATGACATTTTCAAAACAAATAAAGAAGATAAGGAAGATATAGATACTATTGATACGGGATGGGGAAAGGCAGGAGGTAGTCGCTCGATTACACCAGAAGATGCAGACAGAGGAAAGAATAATGAAATTAGAAAAAGAATTAGATGAGTAAAAAACAAAACCGTTTAAATTCAATGGCTTGAAAACTTATATAAAAACAAATTTACATATTTGTATGACAGACACCCCTGGAACAGAGACTTCAAGTGCCACCGCCCGATTTTGTGCCCCCAAGTTGTTGATGGTCTTATTGAAGGGGAAGTAGATGAGACTCAATAACATAATTGATGCTACATAAGATGGCATCGTAATTCAACTTTTGTTCATAATTTTTGGTTATTATGAAAAAAGGTTACGTAAGTTATTATATATGGTTAGCTATGTAGATAAGATTGTAGTATCGTTTTATCATACGGATGAGGGTGGAAATGACTATGGTATATTTGAGTTCAAATACTGTCCTGTTTGTAAGTTGTCTAAGGATAAGCAATTGTTTAGAAGTTATAACAACAACAAGGATTATAATAAACTATGTAGGAGGTGTTTAGATAAGTATCGTAAATTCAAGAACTTATATGCTTTTATGAGAGATGCTAAAACGCACTTTGATAACACTTTTGAAGACAAGTTTTAGTCTAAAGCTTTTATATAGAATGAGCGATGTAGATGATGAGCGTCCGATTAAGCGTATCAGTTCCCATAAAATTTTGGAGAAGTTAGAACTAATTGAAAAATAATAGAAAAACTTGTTGAAGTTAATAAACCTAAACCCGTTAATAAACCTATGGATAAGGATAGTGAGACATATAAGAATAAAAGAAGTGTGTATCTGAAAAAACTGAATAATCTTCATGTTAACTATCCGAAAAGTGAGACATTGGCATATTACGAAATTAAATACGACCCTGACAAAGGGAGTATTCTTAAATGTTGTATTATACATAAACGCGTATTTAACAAAATCATTGAAAGAAAAGGTGACTTAATATAATAGAGAAAGAATGAATACTGACAAAACCTTCTGTAATTCATGTAAAGTAAACCGTGATATAGGATTGTTTAAGGAAGGATGTAAAACTTGCGACTTATGTAGAAACAAGAATAAAATATACAGAGAGAACCACCGCGAAAGGTTGTTGGTAGAAAAAAGAATACAGGGAACAAAATGTGGACAACAACAAAGCATATAGACTGTTAACGGTGAGGTGCGAAGTATGCGACTGCGATATTAACAGAAGTTCACAATCAGCGCATAGGAAAAAAAGCATCAACATAATTTAAGCAAGCAAGCTGAGAACACCACAGAACAGCAACAAGAACCATAGGGTCTGGCAACACTTTATACAATGATGAACGGAAAAGCAGAAATAGCAGTTTACTAATTAATTTTAGTAAAATTCTATGTAGGGGCATGGAGCGAATGCTTCGTGATGCTTTGGTGAGCGTCTTTTGTGAAGACTTTAGGGTGAGAAGGTTTTGAGGTGTGGGGTAAAGGCGGTTCTTTTGTTTTTTGTTTTGCTTTGGGGACGGGTGTTGAGTTAGGAGGTGCTTTGTGTTTTGGGTTTTGGTGAGGTTGTTTTGTTTTGCTTGCGTTCGGGGTTTGTGTTATGGATTTGGGGAGGTTGTTCTGTGTTTTGGGTTGTGTTCGGGAGTTTGGTGTTGAGTTAGGTTGTGCTTTGTGTTTTGGGTTGTGTTCGGTTTTTTTGCGTTGAGTTGGGTTGTGCTTCGTGTTTTGGGGTTTGGAATGTTGATTTTGGGAGGCCGGTTGAGAATTGAGGTGAAAGTGTAGGGTGGGGTATAGGATGTGAGGTGTGGGTGCTTGCTCTTATAACCTTACTTACTAAGTCCCATGATCCTGCAAGTAACCAAAGACAAACAAGGCTGACACACACACACGCACACACCAGTGTGAAGGTGATAATACGGAGGTGGCGTAGTTGAAGTGGCTGAATGGAAACAGCCATAACAAATGGCACGGGCGTTCGTCCACTTCCCGAAGGTAGCAGCTAGCATGAAGCTGCAAAAAGTAGTAGACTCCATTGCAATTTTTCAAGTCTGTAATATACTACTTATGCCTGGGCCCCCTCTCAGATTGTATGCTGCCCTGTCCATCACCTTAACTGCTGATGTTGCGCTTCGTTTTTCATGGCTTCGGGTTCTGGGCTCCGGCGCTAAAAGCTCCACCTCTGGGAATTGGAGGAAGACGCTTTTAGGGCTTTAGGGATTGGGGTTTAGGGTTTGGGGTTTAGAAGCTTAGTGTTTTCGGGTTCAAGGCAAACTGCTTGCGGGGTTTCGGGCTTCAGGGAAGAATCCGACCCGTGGAGCAAATGACGGCAAAAGACGGTAGAAAGCCTATCCGAAATCAAGATACCCGAGCGGACACCATGGCCCTACACACCATAAGAAGCAAGGCGACATGTAAAACCCCTCGAAACCTTGGAAGAACAAATCTCCAAAACAAAAAGAAAGCGCAGAAAGAGCCCCTGAGCCTCCACCCACCCTGAACCCCAAACTTAAGCCCTAAAACCCCAAACCTAAACCCTAAACGCCCAAACCCCAAACCCAAACCCCAAGACCAAAACCTAAACCCTAAAGATCCCTCAAAGGAACCCTGATATTATGACCGTTTAAAGGAACCCTTATACTACCCATTAAAGGAACCCTATCACGCCTGGCCTACATCCAAAGAGACCTGCTTGCTGGGGCCCGAGTGGCTCATTCGTCTCTCGCTGTGACTTCTGGCCACCTCCACTGCCTGAAGCAACCGTTTGGGGCTTCAGAGGGTTTAAGGCTTTAAGGCTTTAGAGGGTTTAGGGTTCAGGGTTTGGGGCTTCACACGGTTGCTACAGCACATTTTGGATGAAATTGGGCTTATAGAATTTCTATCCTGGCAACCTAAAAACTCCACCAAGCCACGGGTTTAGGCGTATAGCTCTGAAGCCAAAGATTCTTGGGATTCCTTAATATGAACCCGATTATGGGAACCCCAATCCCTACCACACCCCCATAGGCTAAAACCCCTTTTGCGCCTTGCGCTGCTGCTGGTGGATTTGCGAAGTCACGAAGGTCTCTGTTCCCTCCTGGTCATGTTGAGGGTCCTGCGGCTGAGAAGCGGTAAAAAAGACCACATCTTTGGGTTCTTATGCAAACAGCAAGACTCTCTCCACAATACAAAACTCTGAGTCTTTCGAAAAGAAGGGTGCGCTGCTTGCATTCTTATTTGTTTGAGGATTTACTCGCATTGCGGGCTTTGTAAAAGTAATCCCGGACCCCCCTGAAAGCCAAACAGCCAACCAACTGGCATAAGCCACTGGCCCTAAACCCTAAACCCTAAACCCTAAACCCTAAACCCTAAAAGCGTGACAGAACCTCTCTAGACTCCTCTTGACAGCCTTCTGCTTCTCGAATAAAGAGCCCCAAAGCCCGAAGCCTAAATCCTAAACCGTAGCTGAAGAACTTAGGAATTGGAGTCGATCCGACAGCAGCTTTGAAGCTCGGCTTTAGGCTGGCAGAGCTTCAGGGGTTTACGGTTTGCGGTTCTAGGGTTTCGCCAGCGATGGAAACCTGGCATTTACAACTGCGATCACAGCTCCCAAACCTCAACATGGCTTTTGATACAGAACCACAACTCCCCCGACAACCTGCAGGTCTGTAAAAAATTGCCCCTGATCTAGAGGAGCCAAAAGTACAACATAAACAGCACAAGATCATCCCCAGCCCGAAACTTCTGAAAAAACGAAGGGTAAGATCAAGGCTCCTTCCCGCACAGGTATACTAGGATGCCCAGCAAGCTAGGAATAAAAAGCTCCCTTTGGGGTTTTGGGTCACTTTATAAGGAACCTAGGACTACAGGCATCCTAGTATATGTGCCGATTGAGTGTAAGTATTGGACCTTGAAATTGCCTTAATGCACCTGTCTAGGCAACCTTTTGAGGACCAAGTCTTTACGAAGTAGACACACACGTATATTCACCTTTACGGGAAGTGTTAAATTTCTTAACCCCTAACTCCCAAACGACGCCCCCAATCGAAACCGGCACGAGTAGCCAGAAGCCCTCGAGTTTGGGTCCTTGCTATGTTGAACCCACAGAATACCACTGAGAGCAACCCTAATAGGACCCTTTTTAAGAACCCTTTATTGGAGCCCTATTCTAACAAGTCAGGCCATATTGAACCCCCATAATACCCTAATAGGATCCTTTTTTTAAGAAACCTTTATTGGAGCCCTCTTCTAACAAGTAAGGCCCCTGCCCCTAAACCCTAAACGCCTAAACCCTAAACCCCTAAACCCTAAACCCCTAAACCCTAAACCCCTAAACCCTAAACCCTAAATTTTGGGTCCTTGCTGAAACTCCTCGGCGATGCCAAGGCCTCCAGGATCTCCGTTCCTGACGCCTGCATCAGATCAAAGGGGATAAGGGGGGGAGGAAGGGTTTAGGGTTTTAGGGTTTAGGGTTTTAGGGTTTAGGGTTTATCTTATCTTTGAGACAAAGGGGAAAAGGAGGGACCCTTAATGGGGACCCCCACCCTATAATGGGCTATATAATGGGTATATACCCTGGATAGCTATATTAAGGGTATATAACTAGGGGTGCCTGTGTTAAAATTATGGTCCCTTTTTGGGCCCCCTGAATAAATTATATAGGTGCAGTACTATAATAAGGACCCAAAAAGGGATCCCAATGCACCAGACCCTCGAACGAGGGGGCTTTCGTGGTTTAGTTAGGGCTTCGGGTTTATAATAGGATCTAGGGAGATTTGAGGAGCTTTTGTGGGGTTGCCGAAGGCTTTAGAGCGTTCTGTAGGCTTTTAGAATACTGAATAAGGTTGGGGGACTTTTGTAGGCTTAGTGGCTGAGGGTTTAGGGTTTATAATGGGATCTAGGGGTAAGGTCTGAAAAGGCTTTGAAGGGTTTTGCTAGGGCTTTGGAAGGTTTCAGGTGTTAGAAAGGCTTTAGAAGGGCTTTAGAAGGGCTTTAGAGAGGTCTTCTCCGGGCAATGAAGCTCCTGCAGAAAACCCATGTCGAAAGGTTCACAAAAAAGAACTGCAGACAAGGTCTCCTAGCACTGCAGGGTTAAGATATCGTCTTTCTTCAAAGCATATATTCTTTGGGACCCTTGCAAGGGCCTGGAGTTCAACTTTGCCTATCTTTTGTATCGGCTTAGGTCTGGGGTTCAGTTCGGAGATCGAGTTGAGGGTGAGACCTACCCTAAACCCTGAACCTCAACACCGCAACTCTTGAAAGAAAACCTACCTGCTTACCATTCCTTATTATGACTTCCCCTGAAACCTAGTCGTAGAGTCACAAAACCACCCCAAGCTGGCCTGCATCGAGGGGCTCGTCCTGTACAGGTCTGCAAGATCTTACGCACGCCTAGGTCACACCCAAAGGGTCCTGTTATGGGGGATACTTCACCCAGGTGGAAACCCTACATGCTACCATGTTAGGTACTTTGGACCCTGTCGGACAGACTCTTTGTCCTAGGCTCGACTCCCTGCCTGTAGATCTTCACCACAACTTCAGACCCCACATTCTATCTGCCTAATCCCTAAAACCTTATGGCAGTTTCCGAAAATAGGGGACCCTAATATAGCACGCCAAATACTAGGATCCTTATTATAAGGACCCCAAACTAAGGTACCCCTAATTTTCGGAAACTCCCTTATCACCAACCCTAAACCATCAGCAAAAATCTACCCTGGTGCCTCGAGGGGTTCGCAGTTCATTTAGACCCCAGACTGTAGGATTCGGGTCGATGTGTAGGATTTTAGATTTAGGCGCTGTAGGCTTCAGGATTTTAGATTTAGGGCCTAGGATTCGGATTTAGGGTTTAGGGTTTAGGATTCGGGTTTAGAGTTTAGGATATGGAATTGTTGGCTGGCTCGGGATTTCGGAAATCGGGTGCAGCTTCTTTCGGCCGCCAGCTCCGCCTCTATGAGGGAACGCTCAAACAGGATTTCGGGTTCAAAGGCACGGAACCAGTACCTTCGCCTAGAGTTTAAGATTTGAGGTTTCGGGTTCTGCTTCAGGGCTTGGGATTTAGGGTTTAGGGGTTTAGGGTTTAGGGGTTTAGGGTTTAGAGGCGTAGAGTTTAGGGGTTCAGGGTTTAAGGGTTTAGGGTTAGGGGTTTAGGGTTTAGAGGTTTGGGGTTTACGGTTCATAGAGTAGTATTAACTATACGGCCACAGATGTGCGAAGCTGCAAACGCGGGCCGAGCTGCAATCCCGCCGGTGAAGCTTTGTCCTCAGGCTCTGTTTCTCAGTTCTGGCTCTGGGTTCCGGCTTAACCCCAAACCCTTACCCCTAATTAAACCGTAAACCTCCACATCCCAGGGCCGGAGGGTTTCGAACGCCGCAATGGCAAGGCGAAATACGAGAGATGCCGGCAGGCGATGCTTGCTTCTACTGGGCCTTCTCGCGGTAAGACGGGGCGGCTGCTGGGAAGCATGGTTCCCTTAGGTTTCGGATACTAGTTATGCAGGTTACTATTTGGGAGAGTATATGGTTATTAGGTACTTGGACCGACTTGGGCCCTTCGGGGTTTCACTGACACTTACTACGATGAAGTGAACGAAACGACCAAGACATGACATGTTTGGGACACCGAATCTCGGAATCTTAGACTGGGAGAGAGCTAGCTGCGCGATGCAGCAAACATGGACTTCAAGTGGGACGGCCTTCAACACATCTTAAACTGAACGTACTGAGAACTACAAGTAACACATCTAGCTATGCAAAAATGCCGTAACGGGCTCCATACACGCGACTTAGGGCCTACCTACGAAACCATAGGCGCCAAATAAAAGGCATCTTGGCAAATGTCAATAATTAACGCAGTCCCAAACAAGAAACGCAATCGCAAGTGGGAAACTTCAATGAGGCATTTCGTCTCAATTTCAAGAAACGCCTTCGATTCTGGAAGGAAACGCAGTCGATTGCACACAGAAACGCACTCTTTTTGGCTTGCTCGCACAGTGCCACCTGGTGCCTCAGGAAGATAGCCTCGATCGGAGCTGCTGTATACAGTAGAACACCATTCTATCTGAAGTGCCCTCTGGGAACCGAATAGACTACCCTCGCAGCTCACCGAAGCCCTGAAAACAGCTCTAGCAGGCCTTTAAGATAGCTGATTTTCAACCTTAGCGGGCTTTGTTGAGGGACGGGAACCGGGATGCAGGGATGACAGCAGTGTTAAGGATTCAACCATAGGAAGCTTTTTGGGGGACAGGAATGGGGTTGATGGCGCTTTCGGCGGGCCTCTCGGCTCCACACGTCCTTATATGACAAAACACAACCTGCCATGGACATCTTCTAAAAAATTAGCTGCCCCACAGGGCTACATACTGTCTTGCAAAGGGAATCGTGGCTACAACCGCCCATGTCGATTTGCTCCTGCAGACCATGCTCGCATCAGCCGGAGCCTTATATACACTGAAGGGATCAGGATAACGGGCTTGAAAAAAATTCTGTAGTGGGATTGCGGGCTTATATAAGGTCGGGAATTATAGGAGCAGATCTCAAAGGCCATGCTTTCGGAACAACAGCTTAACCGCCAACAAATAGCGATCAATCGTTCGCCGGCTTGCAATCTTAGGGCTCACTTTTCGGGATATCCTTGATACTCGGCCGATGTAATCTTCGTTACTTTCGCACCCGAAAATGGCCGGATTCAAGCACCATTCATGTCCTTGTCGAATTTGGCTTTCCAAGTCCATCAGTACGTGGTGATAGTAGTGGAGTTTTGGCCGTAGACTATACAGCCTCTTGCCTTCTCGGATAGCCCTGTTTGCAAGGTATGCGTAGCCTCTCAGAAGCTTCATCCCTGACACATGGATAAACTTTGCACAATATGGCTTCAAAAATGCTGGGTGTGAATGATGCACCCCCACGAAATCCAGTGCGCCAGCGATGGTCTCTTCCATTGCTTTCAGCAATCTCTTCAGATCAGCAGACTGAACCTCTGGGAGGTTCAGTCTCAGGAAAAATTGCAGGAACATGCAGCACAGCACAGCATCAGCACCTTTGCCACCAAGAACTGGGAATCCAATCTTTTTCTTCGTGACATGCAATGTTCCCTTCGTGAACTTGCGGATGTTCGGGGTGCGGTTTTCGGCAACACACCACATCTTGAAGAGCATGTGGGCTCTTTCTAGGCGTGCTGGCAACCCCTTACTTGCCCCTCGAGCTTCAAAATCAAACATGCCATGCCCTGCCAGTTCGATGAGCACACATGCCACCAAGTCCTTTAAAATTCCGAACTTCAAACAATGGAAAACGTCGCATCGGTAAAAGGCCGCTGGCCTTGAGCTGCTAAAAGGAATGCGACTAAGTCTTGGAAGTTCGGTCCATGGCAAGGAAGCAAAGTTTGTCGAGGCCCATGCAGGGGAATCTGAAACATCCGTGTATGGGCACTGATCCGTGCCGGCGTGGCACTGCGGGCACATCAGCAGATTGTTTTTTGTTCCGGCAGTATTATAACAGCGGTCATACGAGCAGGCTTCATGATGAAACTCCAGATCACCTTTGATCCCACATACGGCTGCTCGGAAGCACAGCCCATTGTGCTGTACCCCGGTGGTGAAAAGCTCAAGCATGCCGTCGGCCAGAGCATCCAGCAAGGCCGGAACTACGTCCTCGTTATCTTTGAAGACTTTATGCGGAATTGCAGTAAACAAGAATTTGCTCAAGAAGGAATGGCCCTTCGAATTGTGCGGGATGCTGGCATGCTCGGGGTCGGCGCGATGCTCGTGATGCAGTGGGCACGATTCACATGCACCCGGAAGTTCATCGCGATCGAGGTCCGGACACTGCTCTCGCTTTCTTTTCTTGCAAGACCATGATAGTTTGTTGCCGTGAACACCGGGGCTTCGCCAACCAGGACCCTTCCGCCGAACATCCTCCGAAATACCTATACAAGGCTCCCATGAAAAGACATAGCAAGGAAGTTTGGACCTCCCTCTCCCCTTATCTCCGTGAATGCATAAGGGTACAATCGTTTTCCAGTCCTCAGGGGATGGGTAGGCTTCGAAGACTGCGTGGTCCGGCTGTGCAAGCTTGAACCTCTCCCAGAATTGTTGACACTGCTTTTGGCTGCTTTCTCCGATAGGCATGCCTCCAAACAAGACCTTTGGATGATTCTTTAGAAGGCATGTAAAGAAGTCAACAACCTTGAGGTAAGGAATGATCGCGGGGTCTCCCTCAGCAGGTACTGTAAGCTCTGATACAGGAACCTTTAGCGTGAGACCGAACCGTTTAAAAGCCCTATGAGCATCCCTCTCTCCATGGTTTGTATGAACCTGAGCCGCCGCAGCAACACCTGCTGAGGTTTGACCCAACGACTGCAAATTATGCTCATCTCTGAAAGCTCGGGCGATTTGCCCAATCATCTTCGCTGGAGCCTGAGATCGGCCGGGGGCTATAGTTTACGAGTTGGGGATATATTTACAGGGTTCATGGAAGGGTGTATTCGTTTTGGGGTACGAGGGTTCAGGGTTTTGGGCTCGGGGTTTGGGGTGGAGGGCTTTGTTGTTACGAGGAAAGTTGCCCATATCAAGGGTGGTGCTAATGAAGGATAGATTTACATGGTTCAGGGGGTACACGGTTTGGGATACGAGGGTTCAGGGTTTTGAAATCGGGGTGGAGGGCTTTGTTGTTTCGAGGAACAATTATACGAGTTGGGGATATATTTACAGGGTTCATGGAAGGGTGTATTCGTTTTGGGGTACGAGGGTTCAGGGTTTTGGGCTCGGGGTTTGGGGTGGAGGGCTTTGTTGTTACGAGGAAAGTTGCCCATATCAAGGGTGGTGCTAATGAAGGATAGATTTACATGGTTCAGGGGGTACACGGTTTGGGATACGAGGGTTCAGGGTTTTGAAACCGGGGTGGAGGGCTTTGTTGTTTCGAGGAACAATTAAGGGTGGTGCTAATGAAGGATAGATTTACAGGGTTCAGGGTGTACACGGTTTGGGATACGAGGGTTCAGGGTTTTGGGTTCGGGGTTTGGGGTGGAAGGCTTTGTTGTTTCGAGGAACAAGAGTGGTGCTAATGAAAGATAGATTGCATCGGTTGGGGTACCCAACACCGCGAAAGCCCAAACCCCAGCCCAAACCCCGAAGAGAAACAACATACCCCCTGTATTCCACAACATTCATGGCACGTGACACCATCAGCCACGGTGTCGGCCAATGCTTCCAGAGCTGGACTCTGGAGGTCGGTGGAGCCTGGCGTTTGTGTGGATATGAGGTAATCAGATTGCATCCTATAGGAACTATAGCGCATATCGTGGTCCGTTGTTTTGGCATCCTGAAGCTACCGAAGGCCCGTCTGCAGTGCCGATTGCAGGATGTCAGGGCAGTGCTTTCTATGTTCGTAAATACAACACATAATCCTATTATATATATATATATATATATATTGGAGTACTTGCGGCACCTGCGAACACTGTACAGACTGGCATTAAAGGACCGGCTTTTCAAAAACAGCCTTTGATCTAGCTCTCAAAGCGAGGCTGTTGCCGAAGCTAAGCAGCTAAACTACTTCTTCTGTCTCTTGGCCGGCTTCTCATCAGCCGGGGGCGGTCGCACATTCACCTTGGGCCTTGGAGGCTTGGCTTTGCCCGACTTGGGCTTGACATCAGCCACCGAGCTTGCATAGTCTTGCAGCAGAATCCTGGAGAATGGCACAGGCGCTAGCACTTTATGTTACGAAGCTGCACACACCTATTCAACAGCAGGATGCATGGGTTGCTCAATGATCACAGACGGTGTCCTTGCACGAGACTCGAGATCCCAGCTCTCCACCACCCTCGGATACCAGTGATTGTTTCCAGGTAATTACAATAGACGGACATAAGCTGGGCGGATAGAAAAATATTCGACATATCTATATAGATGCAGAGCTACCCAGAGAAAAAGCTAAACTAACATACCTACGAAGGTATGTAGGGGATGGTCTGTATATATATATATATACATATAAATAGAAAGAAGACCTATGCATGATAGCGAGCAACTGATCCAAACAAAAGGAAGCGTCGGGGCTACAAGATGGACCTGATCGATTATGGAGGCCGGGGGTGCCATGCTCAACCCTTATATAAACAAACCCAGCAAAGCCCGCAAGTATAGAACTCTAAACTATATATATATATAAAACCCATATGTACCCTGAGGCCCTTGAACCCTATATAGCCTTGAAACCTGCAAGCCAAGACACTTCTTGCGAGCAGCCTCCACTTGCTTGCAA